TGGGTGAGTCATGTAGAGCTTGAGATTTTTTTTTTTCTTTCTTTTGAAACAGTATTTCACTGTGTAGCCCTGGCTGTCCTGGATCTCGCTCTGTAGACCAGGCATCATCGAACTCATAGAGTTCTGCTTGCTTCTGCTTCCTGAGTACTGGATTAAAGGCATGCACCACCATTACCTAGTGAGATCTTTTTAAAAAATAAGCCCACTTATAGTGCAAAGGGAAAAAAAACCCAGAAATCCAGCCATTGTCTGCTTTGTTTTAGGATCATAAATACTCAGGTAAGATTCATGGAAACAGATGGAGTGAGTGGTAGAAATCATGGGCTTAGTTCTCTGCTTTCTCCATATACATTAGTCATGACATTTTCCACTTGAAAAACTTAGGCAAAAGAAAGAGAAAAAATGTCAAGAGGAGGAAGAATGGAGATTCTCAAGTTCATGATGTATGCATATTATTATTGAATATTGATAATAATCATTAGTCTACAAGTAGAATTTTACACTGCTCAGTGTTTTAAATATTTAAAAGTGATTGATAGTTACTTCTTTGGTAACACACAATGCAGATATTTTTTAATGCTATTGCTACAGAAACCAACTTGCTAGCTTGAAACTTCTTGATGCATTGACATATGAAATGTCTTTTAATGAGGTTGTACATTTTCATATGGGCTCATTCATCTTTTATTTGACCTTTACTTTTACTATGAACCCTAAATATCAATTTTCCTTATACTTGTTAATGATAAAGATTTTCATTCTATGAATTAAAATGGAAGCCCTCATTTTGAAGTCATCTTTCACTTATAAGTTTTGGAATACAATATTTCAGTTTTGTACTATCAAGAATAATAGGCTTATGATTTCACTGCAGAAAGAAAATGTAGTTGAAAATGATGTTGTCTAAAAATCATGTTTAGTTAAAGTATGAAATAGATCAATGTTTTAAAATTAGAAAGGTGTAACATTCATACTTTTCAAACACAATGAACTTCTAAACTAATCCTGTAGAAGTCTATGTCATTTTGTTTAAAATGCTTAAAATTGCCTTTAAAAAAGTATTTTTTAATTTCACATCCATGTATGTGCCTGAGAGTATATATGTGCACCACATGCTTACAGGTACCTGCAGAGGCCAGAAGAGGGAATCAGATTCCCTGAAACTGGAGTTACAGATAGTGAACCATCACATGTGATTGTCATGAACAGAACTTGGATACTCTGGACTAGAATAAAAGTTGGTGCTTTTAACCACTACATTATTTCTACAGCTCTTGAAATCTTGTGTTTTCAGTACGTTTGTTTTTGAATCTCACCTCTTTATGTTGGAAAAGTACATATCATGTCATAGAAGTTATTTAAAGTGAAATATAAGTATGTGAAAGATAGAAAATACCATGACGGTTTTAAAAATCCAATGTGGATATATGGCTCCATGTAGAATACATTTGGTAACCTTGATAACCTGGATTCAATCCCCACCATCAAATACATAGACAAATGTGGCGGGCCACAAGAATATATTATAGAGATTCAGCTGTGTATTAAAGCTATACTTTGACCTGCCAAAGGTCTGTCAAAAGGCAAGCCATTTGTTAAGAATATTTGGTGTTATCCACTTCTTAATATTTCAGCTGTCTTCTGCTATGAAATTCTTGCATGCCCAAATATTCCCAGAACAATTGGCAAACAGTTCAGCTCCTCAGACCTACTGAACTTCTAGGTAACTAACTTCCCTGTTGGAGCCAGTACTTGGATAAGGTCATGTAGGCAAAGACAAGCTGGCAGAGATGCATAGCTTTGTTTCTTGTGCTAATGAAGCTCAGACCCTTCTTTTGCCTTGAGGCCTAGTGGCTCTCCAGAGTAATTGATTAAGAACAAAAGAGGTTTTTACAAATCAAGCTCGAAAGTAGAGCTACATTCCTGACAGGGAGAGAAAGAGTGGCCAGGGGAAAGAGATACAGGCATTTTCTGTAGAACTGAGAGAACGGCATAACCAGGGAGAAGAGAAGAACACAGAGGTAATGTAGATGGTAAGACAGAACTCTTGAGCCAGGAGTAGAGAGCAAGTAGGATGGTGGGAGAAGGAACAGAGGATAAAGATGAGGTGGGAAGCATAAGAGCTTAGTCATTAGCAGGACTATGAGAGGGAACCAGATGGAACTGAATATATATATACACACACACACACAGAATTTCATCCCAAAGAAATAAAGTAGACTGACAAAGAGCTTTGTGTATCTAGACTTATTTCTGCACTAAATGCCTGATGGAGCTGTAGTTGTATTGATAGAATTTTGTCTTAGAGGAATAAAGTTAAAAGACATAAGAGCATACTGTACATAGATTTTTTCCCTCAGATATCCCATGCCAGATGAAATGAAATCCCCGGACCCTGGGTAACTCATAGACAAATAATTGAATAATACATAACTTGCCTCGACAAAACTTTGGCATTGCATCTCCTACACATACATGAAGACAGAATGCTGACTAGACTTCAGTCTAAAGCCTGTTCTCAGACTTGGTTCCTGTTCTCAGACTTGGTTTCTGCAAAAGGGAAGAGAAAGAAGGAACTGTTAGCAGTTGCCAAATTTCTTCTATGTGCTTCTTGATATTTTTATTTCAAGTCAGGAACTTTTAGGATTCCCAGAGTTAGTGAATATTCAGAATGATTTGCTCTGGGATTAGCATCTGTTTATCTACTAATCACTGTTTTGTTGTGTCAGTTAACAAAATATAGACATCAGGGGATGCTGCAATCAATGTCAGTTTGGGTCCTTGTGGCAATGCTTAATTCTTACTACAACATTTAGAAGAAACAGAAGTAGGTGGAGTAAGAGAGGGAAATGTAGAAGGAGGAGAAGGAGAAAGAACATATGAGGGAGAGAGAAAGAGAGGGAGAGAGACAGAGAGAATGAGACATGGAGAGAGAGACAAAGAGAGACAGAGACAGAGAGAAACACTGACAGGAGAGGCAGAGACAGACGGATATACCACGTGGGGATGGTGTAAAAGATAATAACTGATGTAGATTATTGATTCTCCTCTTTCCTTAATTTTGCATGAGGTTTTTCCTCCAAGGCCAAACTTTTCATCTTGTAATTTTTGTTTTAATTATTTATTACTATTATTTTTAATTTGTTATGTGGTAGTGGGGATTGAACTCAGGGCAGCAAGCATGGTAAGCATGTGTTTTACAGTGTGCTACACCCTTTGTATCACTCATTAAATGAAATCACTCATGGTAAGAAGTAGAAAGTTTTAATTTGAAAAAAAATAAAGCTTTCTATATAGGAGAATCATGTTTTTATGACATTCAGAAATAAATCTCTGTCAGGCCTTTCAATTATCCCACAGATAAATGTGTAAGTGTGGATGTCCTATTCTTTGTAAAGCCATATTTAATCTTCTTTCTTTATAGAGATAGTAGGAGGAAGAGGAAAAATCACTAGCATGCATGTGCACTAAAACACTTGTTGACTTGATCACTATTATGTAGTCCTTCACACTGACTCTAAAACTCTGCTTTCAACTGCATGTTTCTCTCATCATTCTCATTGAAATTTATTTGATCACTTTGGGAAAATTCTGGTCTAATTTTGTCTTAGAGAAATTAATAAAGTGTACAGGGTATGCAAGAATCTGTCACCAGACTTCTCATCTCATATTAAAAACAACAAAACAGTCACTTGCCAAGGTTTTCTCTGTAGAAAAGAGATTTAGGACTTCTTAATTCCCAAATCTGTGCATCTATTAATTATACACTTGCATATACCTAATACAATCTTTTCAGTCTTGCATTCTGCATGTGACATGACCACTTGGTAGTTTATTGCATATTGAGATACCTAAAACTCCTTCTCCTTCCTCATTCTCTCTTTCTAAACTGCACCTTCTGGAGAGAGAGAGTTATGGATGACTCATGTAAAAAATAATGTTAGTACTAGAACATTCTCTCATACTAACAAGTACATGATATAAGTTTATTAAACAAACATATAAATATGTTAAATAGGTGTATCCAATAACTGAACAATTCAGCCTTCTGAATTTGTTTTTAGCAAAATCTGTGAAAGGCTTAGGTTCCAAAACTGTATATTGTGTTGGAATTATTAATAAAGGTGACCTTGCCTTAGAGCTATGGAATTGTCACATGGTGTAGGTACTTCTGTGGTAAAAGTTCCAGGAGGTTAAAAAAATAAATGCTCAAGTGAAATGCATTTAATTATTCATTAGTTGCTTAAATTCCAGATAACAGCAATTTCCTTGCCCCAATTTATCAAGAAGGCAAGTGTTTGCAGGTGCACTGAGGAGATAGTGAGAATTAGCACCACTGCTGACCATACTCAGTCCAGAAAGACATTTAGCAGTATGTTCCATTTTCATTATAATTGTAGCTGAAGTTTTTCTATGTCTTGCTCGGTCCACAGCTACTCAGACCCAAGTGAATACACAGAGGCTTATATTAATTAAAACTGCTTGGCCATTAGCTCCGGCTAACTACTGACTAGCTCTTACACTTAAACTCAGCCCATTTCTGTTAATCTATATGTCGCCAAGTATTCTGTGACTTTATATATGTGCCATTACATCCTGCTCCCTGGATGGCGGGCTGGCATCTCCTGACTCAGCCTTCTTCTTCCCAGAATTCTCTTTGTCTACTTATCCCACCTATACTTCCAGCCTGGTTACTGGCCAATCAGCATTTTATTAAACCAGTGTACAAAAGCATTATTCCACAGCATATATTCAACTTAGTTTTCAAATATCTTATGTAAACCAAGTAATTAAAAGCTATGCTCCTTGTTTTATAGGGATAATGTTTAAGTGTTTAGCTTTACATTCAGGATCCAAAGATGTACCCCAGACTACCCTCTAACTTTGGAGTCTCCTTCCTTAGCCTCTCTAGTTCCAGGATTTCAGATGTGTTCTTCCATGCTTATTCTAATGCTTACTTTTTATAACTAACTTTTATTATTGTTTCATTCATTTTACAGGAAGTGGTTATTGTGTGCTAAATGAACAGAAATATGTTTGCCTCTTGTTCCAGTACATCTTAGAATACAGAAAAAAACCAAAGTAGAGGAAGAGGTATGGATAAAATTGTACAGAAATACAAACTAAATGAACAAGCAAACAAAGAAATGATGAAGGTAACTCAACAGAGAAACTAGTCTATCAGAGGAGTTCAAATAATTGTGGAGAAAGGAGGTGACTGGAAAGATTTGCCAGCTAACCTCTCTCCCTTCACAGGAGTTCAAAGTATTTCAAATACAGAACACATCATTGAAATCTCACTATTGAAGATGGTGGAGTAAATCGTGCTACATTCAATGAGTCAAGGATGTGGCGAAGAATGTTGAGAACTCCAGCATGGTAGGAACAAATGCTGATTATTGCCTACTATAATCTTGTCAAAAGATGGGCCATAAGAAAGATGGGCCTCTTACTGCATTGGTAAATTTTCCTCTACTGTAACAAAATACACAAGGCATTCAACTTAAAAGGAAGATAGATTTGCTTTGGCTCAAATTCTGGGAGAACTTAGTTTATTGGTTTGTTGGAGTAACACTGCAGAAACCCACAGCAAGGGTAGCTGCTCACTGCATGGGGAATGAGTGGAAATGGATAGGATATTCGTACTACTTTCACCAGAGTTTGGATTAGCAAGGACAACCTTGAGTGACATCAGAACCAGTGGAAGCAAAGGCAACAGTAGCCATTTCATTCTGCAGTTATATCTTTCTGGCCTTCCATTAGCATATGGAAATATAGAGAGAAAATCTGTCACTTCCTTAATCCTATTATGATGGGAAAAACTGCTATGAGACACAAGAGAGATTGTAGACAGACAAATATATGATAGAGATACTGGCTTGGTATTTACAGAGGTAAATGATAGATTATCTTGACAGATAGAAGATAGATAGATTAAAAAGCTCATAAATTAGATTAGTAGGTAGATTATAGACTTTATTGGTAGACAAATAGATGGCAGATCGGTAGAAAGAAAGAAAGGAAGGAAGGAAGAAGGGAGAAAGAAGGAAAGAAAGAAAAAGAAAAAGACAGACAGACAGACAATTGGTAGATGGATTTGATTGGTAGGCAGATAGATGACTGACAAATAGATGCATGCATACACAAATCTAAATGGGCAATACCACTACATTCCCATAATGATAGTAAGAACTTTAAGAACATTTTGCCAAGTTTAGGTGAATACTTAAAAAATTTTGTGTCTTGGTAAGGTATCACAAACTTTTAATCATAACACTAAGGGGCTGGAGACAGGATTATGGGGAGACAGGCCTTGAACCATTCTACAATTCTAAAGCTGTGCAATATTCCTTCCTCGCCATGCAACTACACCTTAATATTCCCTTTAAAGAAATGTACTTGCAGAATCTTCTCAAGAACTGTTGTCTCCATTAGCATCTCCAGTCTTCTGAGGTGCTCTATTTGCATCCCAGAACTTCTTACTTTTATAAAAACATTTTTTTTTTGTCACAGAGGTACTGCTTTGTTTGTTTGTTTTTAATTTTTTTAATTTTATAATTTAATTTAATTTTACATATCAGCCACGTATTCCCCTGTCCTCCCCCTCCCCCACTTTCCCCTCCCCCACGTTCCCTGACAGGAAGTTTCTTACCCCACTTCCCTCCATTCTGGACAGCTCCAGTCTGCATGGCCTTATGAAGTGAACTCATTGTCACTCCCTTCTCTGTGGTGTTCAGTGTCTTTTGGTTCACAATTACACATCTTGTTTCTTGCCTGTGATTTGTGTTTCCAATCTTTTTGTGCTGAGAACCCATTCTAAAACAGGAGAATAGGGAGAATCAAGGCACAGATGAAGGGGTTCGTGGCCTTAACTTTTCTGAAAAGTCATTGCCTATTTTTGTCCCTGTCATGTGATTTGCTTACTAAGTGACTAGCAGAAGCTCAAAATTCAAAATATTGCCTGTGCTACATTTAAATAAATTATTCTTATATACAAGATATCCTTATTTTGAATTGGTTCCCTTTTTCTTTTTAAAAATTTACTTTGAACTTGAAAGAAATCGAAAACAGGTGCATATCTCAACAACTGTCTGCTTATTTTACTGTTAACCTGATTGTGATGAGAATACATAGCTTTGTTTAAAATATCTATTTTGTAATTTCAGTTGTATTTTTCTTTGAATAATTCCCTTTGATTCTGGTACCCAGGATGTTATTGTTAGTTATTTTGTAGTGCTGTGCTCTTACCCTGCAAGGAATTGTCACGAAACATGACAGAATCCGCTAATAAGAGTTTTATTAAGATAAAAGGGACAGAGAGTGCTCAGGCCTGTGGGAGACACATGTGTAGAGAAGAAGGAGCTGGGAATATGGCGCCGGCTTATAAAGGCTGGGCGTGCACAGGTCGACGTAACTACTCAACGCATGTGTGTAGATCACATGGCTACGCTGCGCGCTTATGTGACCATGCAAAGTCACGGATCCTGGTCACGCGAGATGCCTTGACCCAGAAATGGCTATCTTGACCTGGAATTGGCTAGGTGGAAGTGTCCAGGTCTGCCGGGCATATGCAAACACGCCCAATTGTGGGAGCGTGTTTTGTACCCTTCAGTTATTTTTCAAATTCAGGAATGAATACAGCTCTTCTCACAGAGACTATTTTGATGAATTCACTGTTACAGTGTTAACACTGTTTGCTCTGGGTGATGATGACTTAAGGAAATATGTATGCATCACCATTTTATATTTTTATGTGTTCTCCTAGGGCTAGAAACTAATAATTCAAAACTAAATAATTCAAAACATCACTACAGGATTGATGTGTGATACATACATACATACAATCTACACGGTTTAGTAAGAGTCAACTTTAAAGTTGCTTCAACAATCATTTTGAAATATTCAACAAATTGATCTACTGAGGTGGGCAAAGCAACTGCAAGAAATGCATATTTTCAGAAAATTTTAGTTTCTAATGCACCTTTTGCTTTGAAAATCTGATTTTTACTGAAAGAGTTAATTTGTGATAAACTGTAATCTGATTTAGACCTACTTTTAATTTTAAAATACAAACAAGTCACAATCTTGTGTCTACCCTTTAGCCAGTAAGATTATCTTTAGAGAAAACATCTGGGAGATGTGAGACTCTAATGAAAAACTTAAAATCTCTGTTCAGATTAGTACATTTTGAGGAAAGAGGCAAAAAGTGACAAGATACAGTAAATAGGAAAACATGTCAACAATCATACACTTATAAGTTAGTTCACGAGTCTACCCTCATCAGAGAAGTTTCTTTGTGCAGTAGATAGCAATAACATAGACCCACAACTGATCAGTGTGTGGAGACTAAGAGACTGTAGAATGTTCTTCCGTAAAAAGAGCGTCCATATCACGCCCCTCCACCCAAGGCTCAGGGATCATGGGTGAATAGGAGACACACAGATTGTAAGAGACATGGGCAGTGAAAAGAGTGTTTTCTGGAAGCATCAGTGTGGCTGCCCATTTGAATTCACAGTATGCACAGGACTTAATACAGGCCCTGGCCAAGAAAAACAAAACAAAACAAACAAACAAACAAACAAACAAACAAACAAACAAAAATCCCATCATGGAGAATGGAGATAGACAGGAAGTCCCTCCCTTAGCTCAGGTGCAATCAGCAGTTGATAGGTGCAGAGAGAAGGGAAGTCAGTGTTCTTTAACGGTGGAGCCTTGATGGGAAGCCTCCAGAGACGGCCACACATCCAAGAGCATATGTGCAGCACAGACTGTACTGGGTAGGTTTTATAAAACTGAAGAAGATACAAATTTGGATGGTTAGGGAAGCAGGGGAAAGCAGTGGCTCTGGAAGGAGTAGGGGGTCTTATTGTAGGAAATTCTCAAAGAACTAATATAAATCAGAAAATATTAAAATAATTATAATTTTGCTAAACACAAGGCAGGCTAACTCAAATGTTAGACAACTTTAGAAAGATCTCTATGGAATTTAGTTAAACTAGTACAAATATTTAATATATAATTATACATTTTATATTAGTGATGTTTTTAACAGTGAGTCAAAGGTTTATAACTGCTTAGTACGATTTATTTAAAAGAAAATCCTCAGAGCCTTCCCTATATCTACTAAGAAAAAAATTATAGAACTGAGATTAGAGATATAATCTTTCATTAAATCATTCGGCACTCTGAGTTTTAGAGTCTCTCAGATGATGACAAAGATATATTGCCTTAAATACATCTGCTAGAATGGCTGGTATAGAATATACAAAAGTTGAGAGGAAGTGTTTGAGAAATGGACTGCTTACATCTTAGTGGTGGGAATACAAATTAAAAAAGCCAGTAAGGACAGTCATTACAACTTGAACATAAAGTAGGGGAGGAATGGCTCAGTGATTAAGAGTACTTCCTGTTCTTGAAGAGGACCTGGGTTCAATTTACAGTACCCACACAATGGCTCACAACCATCATTAACTCCAGTTTCAGGTGATCCAATGCCACCTTCTGGTCTCCACAGGTACTAAGCATGCAAGTCATGCATAGACAAACGTGCAGGAAAACACTCATACACATAAAATAAAAATAAATTAAGAATTTTCTTTGAAAAATAACCTGAAAATGGAACTCCTGTATGGGTCAGCAGTCCCACCACTTGGTATTTATCCAAAGTACACAGAGTCAGTGTGTTAAATAGTTACTGAAATCATACTCTAAATTTAGCGACACTATGTGACAACTGCTGGTGTAGAAAACCAGGAGTTAAATGCATCAATAGAATGAAGTATATACCTCGTAATGGCATGATATCAATCAACCTCATAGAAGGAAGATTCATTTCAATAACCTACGTAAACCTGGAGAATACTAAATCAAGTGAAACAAATGGATGATAAGGGAAAATACCCCACACTTTCATGGATAGGTGGAATTTAAAACTGAACAACTCAAAGAAACAGTGAAAGGGGTTAGAATCTGGATTGGTGAGAGTTGGTCAGTGGATACAAGACTTCAATTCAGTTGGACAAAAAAAAAACTTAAAAAATATTCATTATACATAATGGTAGCCAATCATAATATGATATATAGTTTAAAAGTGCTGAGGCTATATTTTCAATCTTCTTAACATGAACACAAAATGATAAGTATATGAGATAGCACATGTTAGATAGTCTAACATGGTCATTCTGGGATGTATACATTTATCAAAATATTATTTATTTCAGTGCAGTCATGAACTCACAGTAACTGTGGCTGTCTAGTAGATGTGCACATGACTTGACTGGTCAACAGCCAGGTATGTATGAGATAGGGACTCATGGGAACCTATCATCATGATTGAACTATTGGTCACTGATGGATTGGAGGAAGGTGGGATCATTATC